GAAACGCGTCTTCGCGACTTCGTTTTTCAAGGGTTCTCGGCATAATGGAATAAAGGAGGTCTCGGCGACCCTTATATTCTTTTACTGTTACCTGTTTTAGTTACATGCTTACTGCGACAAAGCTAAAGAAGCAGTCTTCATGAGAATACGTTTGTGTTATCAGATACAGATACACCATAAAAATTCTAGGTACATAAAAATAATGAAGGTATTTTTCCACATATTTCTACTTGTGTTTCAGTGAAAATAAAATAAAAAAAAAAGGGGGGGAATAAAAGAAAATGATTCATTTCTGCAATAAGTATGACGCGCTTTCACCAGCCTTGGTCTTTTTGGTAACATACGGTAAACAAATCTCATATTTTGTGTAATGTCATACATAACTCTACAAAACAATTTCAACATTCTCTTTTCCTATCCTCCCCCCCCCAAAAGAAGGCGGTAGGTTTACAAAAACACAAACAATGGGCCAGTATGAATAATTATGCTTTCCTTTATCATCTCTGGCTTTGTTCAGCGTTTTCAAGGCCTTTTTCTTTATTGGGAATATTAGCAACAAGCCCAAAATAATATAATGGCATGATTTTATCGTAGCATCAAAATAAGGGGAATGACCGAAAGAGCCTTTGATGAAGTTGCTCATTGTCACACTTTGCAAAAGCTGCGTAAAATCCCCAAGGCTATACCATACCGAATTTGCCCATTTTCCAACTCTGCCATTCTTCGGCACCGTTCCAAGGTCTTTCTTTCGAAAATTCTGCTCTTCATTAACATACTGCCCTTAAACAGAAACCGTTGTATATGCGGGTGGTAATTTATCAGCTGGGCCAGCAGTAAACAAGTTTTGAAAGTGTTTCGAACGTCACTCCTGGCCTACGGTAGATAAACTTAATCTAACAAGGTAACAGAAAAGAAAAAAGTAATGTAAATTGAGGAAGTAATGAATCTGCAGTGAGATAGAAATGTGTACAATAATCTGGGAAATAAAAGTATTTTTAATCGCAATTTATCTAAAGCATCCTTTTCTTTGTAGAAATAACAGTTACGTTGAAATGAAACAGAAATGAAAATTTCTGTTTATAACTGCACAAATTAATATATTTGTTTTAAGTAATATTTAAAATTGAAATTATATTTTTAATGCTCCATTCTTCAATAAAAAATTCCCTGGAAATTCTGAAAGCATAATTTATTTTTACCTCATTTGCAAAGAAAATATACAAATTTTATGCAACGATAGCTAAAAATGATATACATAAAGACAGTGAAAAAGGAATTATCATCAGCTATATTTATCTTGTTTAAGTGTAATTGAAATTTAAGGATTTATTCTGCTGTACCCCGTGTGTAAGAGGTAAAGGACAAATATGTTAATCATAAAACATATTCTAAAATACATCTGAATTATTAACAAAGTGTTATATAATATTCTAAACTATCAAAAAATATGTTAGAAACTCTAATTATCTTTTCACTCACAATAAAATATTTTTATTTGTAATATTCCCTTAAGTATTTCTCTTAAAATGGTGAAATTCCATGACTACTATAAAAATAGCATGCTGATTGCTTCGAATGCGTGCTGTTTCTGAATAAATGGTTTCATTTATTACTTACACAACTTCAATGAGCCTCTCAGACAGTATAGTGGTTAGGAGAGCATGCTACGGTACCCAAGGGCCCGGGTTCGAGTCCCGGAGAAGGCATGGTTGTTTGTAAATGCGTTGTGTCTTTGTGGCATGGAGGCACTCTAAATATATGGCCGGCCGAAAGTCCTCTCATGTGGTTTGGTGGTAGGGGAGAGGAGTTGGAGACTGTTGGGCCTTTTCCCTGGATTGCTGTTCCTTAAAATTGGGGTGTAAGTACAAGTACAACCTCCTTGAGGATCTGGCAACCATTCTTCCATGAAATTCATGGACAAGATAATAACTTCAGTGAAGCACCAAAATGCAGCAACAGAGTGTAAAATACCAACACTGTAGTCAATAATATATTTTACTTAATTTTAAAAGCAATGAGGTTAATGTTTGAGTTATCTCTATAAACAAAACTTTCGACAAAAAATAACTCTAACTCTATACTGCTTCCATCTTGCTGGCACGCGATCTTTTTATGTTTTTAGCGTCCTCAAGGATTGGCTAAAATGGGCGTTTCATTACTGGAATATTCATGGCTAATAAATGCACTTACATGTTACTGTCATCAACAATGTTACTTGAGCTTTAGCAAGAAAAATAAATATAAATATCAAGGAAAACTATGTGTTTGTGGCCCTCTCTAAAACGGTAAATTTAAGATAAAGGAATTTTAAGGTAATTTAAGATAAAACGAAAGTCTCATGTTCAAACTCATTGTTGTGAAACTGATTAGCTGTATCTAACAAATATTAAAAACAAATCTCTTCATTTTGATGTACGAGACACAGATGGCGTTGGCTGTCATTGAAGTAGGAAGAAAAAAAGGGTTTTCCCCTTTCGACCTCGTGACGTGAACTGATTGTGTAATAACTTTCGGGGCCAGAAAAATTTCCCGACAATTGTTAAAAAATGTACATATTTTGTAGTATAGAGAGAATATAATAGATAAATCAACATATTAGAGTTTTTATTACAGATTCAACATCACACTATCCCAGGTAAGTGAGCAAGTTTTGTCTTTAGTTTTTCTGGATTGCTCGGTATCTGGGATGAGTGAAGGAAGTATTTTATTTTAATGATATTTAATGATAAGACTATGTTTTAGTAATAACATAAATTGGCGTCCCGTGACAGGACTCTAAGAAATAAGAAATAAACTTTAAAAAAAAAATTATTTTAATGGTTATAGATAGTTTTTGATGTATTAAAGTATAATTAAGTTTAAATTCGAAACTATTTTTTGTAAAGCAGTTTTGTTTTATTTTGAAAGTTAACTATGGAAGCTTTAAAGGCTCTGAAACTTAAACGGGCAGGTTTACGCACTTCTTTTGCAAAAACTGCTAATATTTTAAAAACGGAATTAGTAAAAGAAGATTTTTCTGTAGATTTAGTACGAGATAAACTTACTAAACTACAAAATGTATATTCAGATATAAAAAATGTAGATGATAAAATTCTTGATTTGTTAGCTGAAGACGGGGGAAAAAACTTTAGAGGATGATGTTACTAAAGAAATCGAAAGTCGCGAGGTGTATTCTGATGATTTCATAACACACTAACTCGGCAAATTAATGAAAAATTGCAATTTTCAGATGAAATCAATTTAGAAACAAGACCAAATGATGGCGCTGGTATTTGTTGTAGTAAGATTAAACAGTATAGACTTCCGAAAACTGAACTTAAGAAGTTTGATGGGGAATTGATAAATTGGTTACCGTTTTGGTCGCAGTTTGAGAAAATTCACACTGACCCTGATTTATATGAAAGTGACAAATTTTCCTATTTGATTCAGTGTATGAAGCCCGGATCACGTGCTAAAGAATTCATTGAAAGCTGTCCTGTGACTTCGGAAAATTATGATAAAGCTGTTTTAGCTTTGAAGGAACGTTTTAGGAAACCTGAATTATTAGTAGAAGTGTATGTTAGGGAACTAATTAAATTAATTGTTTCTAATGTGAAGGCAGATCAAAAGGATAAATTACCTCTTGATAAACTGTATGATAAAATTGAAGCTCAGTTGAGAGCCTTAGAGTCTTTAGGTCTTAAATCGAGCGAAAACACAACATCGTGGTTATTTCCGATGGTGGAAATCGTGTCTCACAGAGGATGGTTTTTAAAGGCGTGGCAAAAGGAGTTCGCTCTTTAACCAGCCTGAAGGAACTGATCTTTCTCGCCTTACCAACTTAATGAAAGAAATTTTTAAAGTCTGAAGTGGAGGGTGAGGAGAGATTAAAATTGGCGCGTAATGGACTCGATGGTGTTAGTCGTAAAGAAGGATATCATGATAAAGCAAAAGGGAAACAAAAGGTAAATTTAAATTTAAGAAACAGGGAAATGTTCCCACTGCCACAGGTTTTCTTACAACCAAGAGAAACATGCATGTATTTTTTGTGGTAAAATGCATGATAGTAAAAATTGTTACGATGCGCGTTCATTATCTCTTAATGAAAGGATTTCTAAAGTTAAGGAGAAAAAAAAATGCTGTTTAAAATGCTTGGAACCAAATCATATGGCAAAGTTCTGTAAACAGTTTGTTAGGTGTTTTGCTTGTGGTAAATCACACTCAGTTATTTTGTGTCCGGACATTAATAATGAAACTGAACTTCCTACAGAAAAATCAGAAATAGACAACATACATACGGCTACAGCCAGGCAAACTTGTACCGCTGACGTAGCTTTAATGACTTTACGCGTAAGAGTAGCTGGTGTCAAAAAGCATAAAGATGTTAGAGTACTCTTAGATTGTGGTTCCCAGAAATCGTATATTTTGAAGTCATTAGCCACTGAATTGGGGTTACCAATTATTTCCAAAGAAAATGTTGCTCTTACTTTATTTGGAGGTGCCAGAACAGAGGCAAAGATGCATAACAAATATTTGGTAAAATTATGTTCAGCCAGTCCGCGTAAGTATTCAGATCTAGAATTTGAATTTTTAGATCAAGACATAATATGTGGGGATATACCTCGGGTACCCAAGGGTCCAATATTGAAAAGAATTAAAACGAAACAACATTTGGTTGTCGGATCTGGGAGCAGATTGTCCAAAAATAGAAATGCTCATCGGTAGTGATATTTATGGAAAAATTCTCACGGGATCAGTAAAAACAATTAAAAGGAGGACTAACAGCAGTTTGTACAAAACTTGGTTGGACAGTTTGTGGTGTATCGGAGGGAATTTGTTAATCACAAAGATAAAGATGCTTCCATTTTGTGTGCAAGTTTAGTGGGTCACGACTTTAAAATCTCCGATCTTTGGAGTTTAGAAAACGATCGGAATATTAGATGCTCACCAGAATTCAACTAACGCTGCTGAGGAAGAAATTGCCCACGAACAATTTTTAAACTCTCTTTCCAGAAACGAAGATGGTCGTTATTGTGTCGGATTACCTTGGTTAGTATATAACGCAGAATTGCCATCAAATCGTCATGTAGCAGAAAAAAGATTGTTCAGTGTCACCCGAAAACTCAAGTCTTTACATAAATATGAAGAATATGATAGAATTTTTAATGAATGGATGGAGGAGGGTGTAATTGAAATAGTACCAGACAATGAACTGAATTATAAAGGGCACTACTTACCGCATCACCCAGTATTTAAACCAGACAGTGTCTCAACTAAGATAAGACCTGTTTTTGACGCATCATGTAAAGTTAATAGATCGCCCTCCCTTAATGATTACTTAGTAAAAGGACCAAATTTAATAGAAGAAATCCCTTCAATTTTGTTAAGATTTAGAGAAAAATGCATTGGCGTAACCTCTGATATCCGGCGTGCATTTTTACAGATTGAATTACGGAAAGAAGATAGGGACTTTTTTAAGATTTTTATGGTGGGAGAAAGATAATGTACTGAAGGTTTTCCGCCATACGAGGGTAGTTTTTGGAGTAAAGTCTAGCCCTTTTCTATTAGGAGCGGTTATTTCAGTTCATTTGGCACAAGTACCAAAGGAACAAAGTTCTATTGCTCAGAAATTAAATAAATCCTTTTATATTGATAATTGTGTGACTTCTGTTGATAACGAAAAGGAGCTTGTGAATTTTGTGAAATCTTCTACTGAAATATTAGCTGAAGCAAAAATGGACTTACGTATGTGGACCTATGGCCCAGTAGAAAAAGATGTGGAACTAACCCAAAGTACTTTGTGCACTGAGTCCACAATGGAGAATTCTGTACCAGTTTTAGGAATTATGTGGGACAGAATAGAAGATAACCTTTATATTGAAATTAAGACTGTATTGGTTTCGGATAATTTGTCTAAAAGAGAGGTTTTGTCAGTAACGCAGACAATGTTTGATCCTTTGGGTTTCTTGACACCTGTTTTATTGCCTGCAAAGTTACTGCTACAGGAAATTTGGGCGATAAAAAGCAGACTGGGATACTCCATTACCAGATAGTATCAAAAGTAAATTTTCGAGGTGGTATAATAAAAATTACAAATTTTGAATAAGTTGAGAATACCGCGACGTATAGGTTTTGGAGATAGAAGTTCCTGGACACTTCATGTATTTTGTGATGCTAGCCAGCATGCTTATGCCACGGTAATATTTTTGAGATGCGAAACTAAAGAAGAAACATTAGTCAGTTTTGTAATGGCTAAGTCAAGAGTCGCACCCTTAAAAGAACTTACTATTCCCCGTCTAGAAACTTATGGCCTGTCTTTTGGGCGTGCGTCTTTCCAAATATGTGACAGAAGCTCTTACATTGGATGACATCCCGAAATATTTTTGGACCGATTCCACCACGGCCATATCTTGGATTCAAAGAAATGATGCGTGGGGGGACTTTTGTGGGCAATCGCGTGAAGGAAATTTGCGCTTTCACTAAAGCAAATCAGTGGTCATATGTACAGGGTCATTCTAACCCAGCTGATTTACCTTCTTGTGGCTGTTCTCCTCTTCAGTTTTTCGAATTAAATTGGTGGAGAGGGCCTGTTTGGCTCAAAGACCCTAGAGATAGCTGGCCAAAATTAGAGGTTAAGCCAAATGAAACTTTAGTTTTTTCAGAGCGCAGGAAAAGGCATAAATTTAAATGTAAATCTTAGTATAACTACAAAAGCGGATAAAGTTAAGTGGTGTGAGAAGTTCTCTAAATTTTCAAAAATGTTAAGAGTTTTAGGTTGGATAAAGAGATTTATCAAAAAATTGTCAAAAGAAAATTGTAAATAAAGAGCCTTTTCTGTCTGCTTCCGAGATAAAGGAATCTAAAATTATACTTCTTTCACTTGTTCAGGGGGAGAGTTTTCCAGAGACTGGAGACTCCATCAATGGTCTTTTGACCGTACGAGATCAGAGTGGCTTAAGAAGAGTAAAAACAAAAAATCACCGAACGAGATGATTCTTATGCATTCCGGTACCCGATTTTATTACCTTCTAAGCATTATATTGTTGACTGTTTAATTAGAGATTACCATTTAAAGCATTCTCATGCCGGCGTACAAGCATTAACTGTTATAATTAGAGAAGAATTCTGGATCATTGGTGCAAGACGCCGAATTAGATCGGTGGTGAAACAGTGCGTCCGTTGTAAACGATTTTCAGCAAAACCTCCAACTACTGCACCCATTCAATTACCATTAGACAGAGTTCGAGATGCGTTTCGCATTTGAAGTTACCGGCATAGATTTATGTGGCCCTCTGATTCTCAAAAATAAAAACAAAAACCTGGGTAGTACTGTTTACGTGTGCTGTATATAGATGTGTACATTTGGAACTAGTGACATCCGTAAGTACCGAATGCTTCATTCAAGCGTTTCGTCGGTTCATAGCCAGAAGAGGTCGGCCATCTACAGTTTATTCAGACAACGGCACAAATTTCGTCGGTACATCTGCATTGCTGAAAAAGGTTGACTGGGTAAAGGTAATTGCTCAGGAAACTTTGCATCCCATCACTTGGAAGTTCATTCCGCCCACTGCTGCTTGGTGGGGCGGATGGTGGGAGCGTCTAATCCGCACAGCCAAGAATTTGATTGTGAGAGTCTTAGGACAAGCTGCAGTCAATTACGAAGAGTTACTCACCGTCATCTGTGATGTGGAAGCCGTAATAAACTGTCGACCACTAACTTATGTGTCAAATGACTCTGAGGATCTTCTACCATTAACGCCTTCCATGTTCTTACAGGACATTAAGGTTTCAGGTACAGCAGATTTGGATGCTTTAGATCGAAATAAACTCTTGGCTCGTCAGCGTTTCTGCCAGGAACTTCGAGAACAATTTCGTAGCCGTTTCCGCAAGGAGTACCTTGGACAGTTAGTACAAAAGCATGGACAGACGGACTGTGAATTAAAAGTTGGAGACATCGTGCTAATAGGTTGTGAGAACCTTAAAAGAGTGAACTGGCCAATTGCTCGTGTCCAAGAACTTTGTACAAGCAGAGATGGACGTGTAAGAGTTGTAAAAGTGAAAAACTAGAAATGGCATACTGATTCGTCCTGTACGTAAACTGTACCCTCTAGAAGTGTGTTCCTGTACTAAGGATACCATTATTTGATTTTTGATTTTCCTTCTGAAAATCAAAAAGGTGGGAGTGTTGTGAAACTGATTAGCTGTATCTAACAAATATTAAAAAACAAATCTCTTCATTTTGATGTACGAGACACAGATGGCGTTGGCTGTCATTGAAGTAGGAAGAAAAAAAAGGGTTTTCCCCTTTCGACCTCGTGACGTGAACTGATTGTGTAATAACTTTCGGGGCCAGAAAAATTTCCCGACAATTGTTAAAAAATGTATATATTTTGTAGTATAGAGAGAATATAATTAGATAAATCAACATATTAGATTTTTTATTACAGATTCAACATCACACTACCCAGGTAAGTGAGCAAGTTTTGTCTTTAGTTTTTCTGGATTGCTCGGTATCTGGGATGAGTGAAGGAAGTATTTTTATTTTAATGATATTTAATGATAAGACTATGTTTTAGTAATAACACTCATTATTATAAGTAAAAGCGAACTGCTACGAACATTTGAAAACTTAGTGGACAAATCGCCGATTCGTTACTGCAACACTCTATTGTTGTTGTTTTAAATCTTCTTAACCCGAGAGGTTTTCTCAATCACATGCATGGATTCATCATGGCCAAGAGTAATCATATCAAAAACTTAAAAATGCCCAACAACAAAGTAAAGAATGTAATTTTGCTATATGATATTCCAGCCCATCCAGAACCTGAGAAGTTTTCAAAGTAAAAATCGAAAGATGAAATGTCCGTTTCTGCCAGGCCAAAAATTTCCTTATTTTACCTAATGAAACAAGGCGTCTCCTGTACGATTAAATGTCTGTACATGGAAATGTTTCTGAATGAAGTTTGGAAGTTGATCAACCGTTCTGTAATATAGAAAGCAAAAATAAGGATCAGCAAACAATTATAGAATATGAAAACATGCAACTGGAGATGAATGGTTTTTCAAATTTGTGGCTCTCGTCAAAGATATTAAGATTTACGCTTTGGCAGTTCCTAAAACGTTATGCGCATAGATCAAGAATATTGAGATAGTTAAGAATGAGTGGAAAGATTTTCACAAATTTTTGCATCCATATGAAGAAGCACCATTAAAGAAAGTCGAATGGCAGTAAGAAATGAGAAAATGACCAGGCTGTCCAAATTTATAAACCAAGGTTTAAATTTTATACAGTGGGATAACAGAGCCGAATTCCGATGAAAAGAAATCCGAGTAATGTGCAGAAATACCGAAAATTCTTTCATTAAAACATGAAGAAAAGCACAAATAAGAATGTATTGGCATATTCCAAACATTTAATTCACCTTTGTAATTTATTATGTTCTGTAACGCAAAGAAGGTAATCAAGAACATCACACAAATTAGTTCAGCAAATGTTGGACCAAGACAAGTCTTTAGTGTAGATTTGTTTTCAACAAATAAAATTTGATTAATTGTTAAATTAATTTCTGTTGACTTCTGTTGAGCTGTGGATAAATGCATACCGTGTTTACGCGCGTAATTGTCGCACCTTTTTTACCAATTTTTCATTGTGAAAGTCTAGGTGCGACTATTATGCGGGGAAATCTGCTACACAATATTGTATATTTTTGAAGAAATTTTCTGCGTCAAAACGATAGATAAGACTATTACGAGTAGATACGGTAATCTGAAATGGTAGAATCATTAAGTTATACCGATGCAGGAACATGAAAACTGCGCAATGCCCTCACCGTGATTCGAAATCTGGACCTTCCGAATATGCGACGAGCAAGCTGTCAGTTACACCACGAAGGCAAAGGAAAGGAGCAAGAAAATATCGAATGAAATATTTTGAAACTTCTATGATTTATGACTATAATTTATGATATTTTAGGTTATTTCTGTATAGTCAGAATCTGTCTGACCATGATAAACATGATAAACTCAGTTCTTTTTGACTTAACAAGATATTAATATAACCTACAAATCTGCGAATTGTTAAGTAAGATAAGAAACAGGTAAGCCAAGATTCTAACTTTAAATTGTAATAGACCTTTAAGTCTCTTTTTTAATTTGGTTATTTCGTAACTCTCATGACACATATACTTATATAACTGAAACACGAATTAAAAATTTGGAAACCATAACTTTTAGCCATTCAGCTAATAGGGTGGAAAACAGAACCAGAACTTTGTTACACTTAATTTAGTATCGATATCGTAATCTTCATTTTTTCTAGCACTTCTTTTTGCTGCAAAAAATATTGTTCGCCGCTTCTCTTCCGCTACTAATTACAATTCTATGAACATATCAGAAGGAAAATAATTATGGTATACTAGGCTCGGATCTTGCACTAATTGAAAGGTGTATGTTTAAAATAAATGCAAGAATAAAGAAACTTTCAACTGGCCATGACTGCTGCCTTCTTTTGACATCAGGCGTTCATCATTATCATCTACAACAAACTCTAATTTTCACTATAAATGTAATAATATGCATTTAATTTGATATGCTACTTCGTACTGAATAATCAAAACATATATACATATGCTCTTCTGTAAGATAACTTTAAATATTTTCCACTAAATTCGGCAATTAAACTATTTCGTCAATTTGTTCTGGTGGTTAAAATAAGAGTGAATAAATATATTACATAAAATTGTAAAACATACATTTCAATGTTCTTTTCATGGCTTTCATCTATTCATATTTCTTTGAGCGATCCTGGTTACTAAAATGTTTTATTTCGGTTAGATTTGCAAAGATAGTGATGTAAACGGTTCGAAAACAAATTCTCACAAACTGAAAACTACACTGACTCAACCAACTCAACTGAATGATAGTTTGAATGATAGAATGTTTTACTACATTGATTTATGTTCAATTTTTCAATCGAATAATATTAGTAAATACAGTAGACGCCGTTTCATGTGAACGCTGTTAATGCTTATCATTCGGATATTGTTATCGAAGTCCTGCCCCTTTGTATATGAAAACATGGAAAACACATCGCTTACTGTCATCAACAATTCGATTAATATTATCAAAGTATTATAAAACAAATATTTTAAACTGAAAAAAAAGTCTCCATATAGGTAAAAATAAATTATAAAGTTGCATGAAACAGAGAAATAAGGGATAAGGTCGATAAAAAGCTTTGTTTCAATTTTAATCAACCATCTGAAACCAGGCAAAAAAAAAGCAAACTCAGTTTAACGTATTGGGTTATTCGGAAAGTAATTTTTTTTATGAAAACGAAAGTGATTTTTATGGTGAATAAATATTTTTTATAATTATATATTTTTCATTATGTTCCAATACCTTTTGCCATCTTTCTGGCAGTTCCCATGCTCATAAAAGGTTTCTTCGTTGGTGGCAAAAAACTGATTCAGGTGATTTTTGACCTCCTCATTTGAAGTAAAGATTTTACCATCTAAAAATATTGTAGAAACCGGACACTACACCACCTTTTCTATTGATCAATTCTGGCAATTTCTGTTTAAGAATGATTCATTCAATTTGTCCAGCTGATTACAGTACATTTCAGAATTTGTCGTTGTGTCGTCCGGTAGAAGCTAAAAAAGGTTCCTCTGAAATCCTACCAAACGGGTAGTATCATCTTTTTTGATGAATATCGGCTTCCGAAGTGCTTTGAGCCGGTTCGTCTTTTTTGCTCCATGATGTCTTGCGTTTAGCATTGTTGCAGACAACCCATTTCTCGTCCACTGTGATGATACGCTTACATGAGGAACGCATATGTCGAGCTTTGAGATTAAACCTAGGCTTTTCAAATGATCATGAACGATCGAATTCGATAAGTTTGATCTCTCAGCTATCTCAGGTGTTTTTATTAGCCGTTTTGCATCAATTATTGCCTTTATTGTGTCTTCATCAGCTTCAACTGGCTTTCCAGAACATGGGGCATCTTCAAAATCAAAATTTTTCAAAACAGTTTGGTCACTGGCATTCTGTAAATATATCTTTTCTCCATACACATCGAATAATTTTTTTTCTTGCTTGAACATTTTTACCTATTCGATATTAAAAAGTAAAATGTGCCGAAACGCTGCTTTTCACTTTCCATATTTGAAAGGGCACCGACCAAAAACTACTGCGTAGAATCAATAGAACATTTTCACAAACAAGCCTTACTATATCAGCTGTCAAAATATATAATGAATATGCGGTTTAAGTGTAAAGTTGGCTGTGAAAAAATACAATTAAGCCTTCTGTTGGGAAAAAATCACAAAATCATTCTAAAATTTATCGCAATTTTTTTTTATCATAGAAAAAAAAGAAAACGAGCGCTTCTGAAAGAACGCTTTGCCTAGGGCTCCATATTAAATTTTACGGGTCTTGAGTGTCCATAGTAATAAATTAACATCAAGTTAAGGTCTTTGGGCATACAATATAACTGCTTTATAACTATTAAACATGATAAACTCAGTTCTTTTTTAATTTTGGAAGAAATTGCTTAATAATGGATAAATATAAATGGAATAGTCTTAAGCACTACGTCACAGTAGTTCTTAATATTTTTGGAAGACTGAAGTTAAAGAAAACGTCTAGAAAGATTACTAATTTTTGCTTGCTTCATAATTACATTTTAACAAACCGTGGAAACGTTTTAGAACTAATACTGTAGTTTGGGAGATTTCACTCTTAGATACAGCATTGTATTATTTTTAAGTTTTTCTATATTATTCAAAGAAAAGCCTATTCTTTATTTAACACAGTTCGGAAATAAAAACTTATTATGCAAAGACACGATTAATATTACTTTAGCATTTCTTTGGCGCAAATCAAAAAATCTAATGTGGACACCACATGACTTCCTTGTAAACTCAAAACGTCTTCTGGAAAAATTCTAAAATACAGAAAAACTATAACACCAAAAGGAATTTTAAAAAGTTTTTTTTTTTTTTTTTTTAATTTAGTTCCTACGCAAAAAACAAACATTTCCGCCAATGGGCAGAAGTCAAAATATGCGGTGCATAAAACTTTAAAATTCACATTTGGTCCCAATAGATAAGGCGCTGAATTTGGGACACCAACTGACTTAATTCACTACACTACTAAGAATTTCAAATGCAAACAACGTTAGGCCTAGCGTGACTTTTAAAGTTTTGATAATTGTACAACTATTGCGTGCACATCAATTAAAGGCATAAAATCTTTAACCAGAACATAAGAACAACATAATTCAATCACTTTTAAAGCAAAAAATGCACAATTTACCAACATTTAAGAATTAAAAAAAACAGAGCTCACCGAGCTGCGTGAGAGGGTATATATATTATCCACCTCTCTCATGTATATATATATACCTTCCTTCCTATATACATATATAAAACACACACATAATATGCATTTTAAAGCGGCCGATTGCAACAAAAAAAGGGAACTGCACAACTAGATGTTACGGCAGCCCCATATACGAAATTTCAATGTTCTACGGCTAATCTTTTTAAGTTATGCGAGATATACACATACGTATGGACGGACGCACGTCATGAAAAATTCCCTTCTAAATTCATTTTACAACCCGTTTTGGAAAATCCCTTATTCCGTTCGTTCGTACAAAGTTCACACGAAAGAATCGTTCAAATGGATTCGCGAGTGGCCAAAATGGATATTTTCTTTGAAAAATAATACTCGAAATTTTTTGCTATTACGATACTTTCTTTACTCTACAGGAAAACCTGCTAATGCATACATTTTCGAGAAAAAAGCTTTCTTACTAGTTCTCGGTACCGGCACGCCGTGTCGTTAAGCTCGACAGAAAAGACACATTCTTGTACTTTATTTTTGCTAACCTCGAAGGGCCAATAGTTTGGAAAATTTCAGAAATCAAACTGTTAGGGAAATTATTACTTTTCCATTTAAAACTTCTCGACGTCCGAAGATGAAATGTGAAAGGGAGGTGGGGGTTAAATTCATAGGAATGGAAGAAAATTGTAGCGTTATTCAGGACATAATTTTCGAACTCAGTCATGATGGTTGGGAAAACTCAGTCATTTCAAACTCAGTCATGATGGCTCGAACTCAGTCAAGAAAATCGAAAAATTGCTAAACAAGAAGTTCGTAATCACGTAAATTGACTATGGTTACTTATATTTTCTTAATTAAATATTCTTTCACTTTTTCCTCAATTTTTCTAAAAGCAGAATTAATCTTCATTCCTTTTCTAGTTAATTATTCTTGCAAAATTTCTTTCTTTCTTGGGAAATCCATCCAGTTCAAACAGAGACTCAAGGTAATCGCGATTGCATTCTAAGAGAAAAATTAACTCGAAGAATTTATTTCCCAGAATAAACTAATTCAGACGTCATTCTGAAAGTTTCTCTCTTACTCCTATATATAGCGTTTATGGGATTATACTTTTGCAATCATCTGAAAGTTTGAATGGATGACTTCCTGTTAAATAAAACAAACCAAAAAATGCTTAAAAAAGTGCATTTTTAACGTTCATTTTCCCTCCAAAACTTTTCAATAAATGATGCCCTTACTACTTAAATTTAGAAATACATGCACTTTGTCGCTTTTAAGTGAAATCTAGTAAAAATGCGATTAAGAAAAGAATATTTTTAAATGTACCTATCCTTCGGCACACAGTTATATGAGTCGTTAAAACCACAGGCCACTATTTAATTTCCCCCTAGCTGCGGTTTCCATTGGTAAAAGAAATATCTTTTACGAGAATTTCTTCCAGTCAAATGCCCGTTCGAAATGGTTTTTTAACATCTTGCCTCGAAACCATCTCTCGCATAGACCCAGTTATTTCGAGGTGTTTTGCCAAAATTATTAATCAGTTATCTTCCTCTGTTGTGAGGAAAACTTTTAAGTGATAAAAAAAAAGAAAAAAGAGATTATTTCTTACGAAACTGTTGCGAAAGAAATTCAATGAGATAATTATTAAATAGCTTAAAACAAGAGGAAATATTAGTTACAGCATTTATTGCATTTTAACTCTGAAGTAGAAAAGCATCAAATGAATCAAGACAATGCTTGATTTCTTTTATAATGAATGTGATGGTAATGCTTGATTTCTTTTTATGAAAGCAAATCCGACGAATAAACATTTCTATAGCAGCTCATTTTCTAAATAGCTTGTAAACTCGAATCTAGGCACAGAAACTCTATAACGTTTGCAATAAACGCAGATTCTAAAAATTACTTTGAATGTATAAGAATATGTTTCATTAAGCATGCAGTTTCTATTCTTAGAATTTTTACAATAAACTATTTTGTCGTTTCTCGAGATCTCAAGATTAGTTGTGTTTGTGGAATTTAGGAAAATGGCATTTATTAAAATTTACTCACTATATTATCGTGTCTGCTTTTAATAGTAGATATACTGTGAAAATATAATAGATGCTCAATAACAGATGGGACTGCGAAGTTTTGAAATATAAAAAATAAAACTGAAGAAAAGGATCTTTTAAAATTCTTTTTACATCTCTCAAATGTGCTAAAACAATAAGTTTTTATAATTATTGAAAGAAAATTATGATACTGTAAGACGAAAAAAATTTGTTACTAAAAGACCTGTTTATAATAGTCTCCATCCATAAGAAAAGAGATAAATAAAAATGCCTTGAATACAAAACATTGTGCTTTAATTGTGGTACAAGTTTTGTAGGAAATAAGAAATAAAATTTCAGAACTGAAACAAATATATATTTAAAGAAACTTATTGAGGCAATTCAGCAACAATTTGGCAAAATTTTGGGAAGGTATGTTAGGAGGAGATGCACACCTACCACATTTATAACTCAGCAGACGATAACTACAGCAGTTCTTTGTAGGCATAGAATCGTCTGTTTTTCCACAGGTTACAGACTCTTTTTCATATTTCATGCATTTATTCTTTAAGAAACTGACACATGTGTATGCAGTAAAGTGAAGATTCTGACCACTGCATTTTCAATGCTCTTTTACTGAAGATCCTCACTTAAGATGTCCTAGTAAAAGTCTCAGCCTCTTTCTCTGATATATCTGACTCAAACAAACGGTCATTGCAAAAATCAACTTTGTTGTGAAAAAGCTCATGACTCTGAGACCTCGAACTTTGATCCTAAAGTCATCACACATTTTAAAAGAGCTGGAGAATGCAAGGACATTTCATGTTTCGACCACGGTTCTTGAGCATTCCGATGGCTCGGCCGCTATTACAAAATCTCTTCTTTTGCATATTTGCATCAGACTATGCAACCTTAGCATAATACTTATGTATTTATTCATAATTTTGACCATTCAGTTATCCGAATCTTTTCAAAAACTCCCAAACCCAATATTATTTTTGTGCCATGTCAAATGCAGTCTAATCAAATGTAACAAATTAATTAGTCGTATAATGTAGCTTTAATTGATCGGTCTCCCTGTCTACACCTGCGTTATCTACACTTGTATGCGTTCATCCTGCAGCACACAATCGCGTCAATGATACAGTTTATTCTAACATTGTGAATTATGTACATGCAGTGAATCTTTTCTGAGTGTTTACCTCATTTTGAAAGCAACTTCATTCTTGTCAGCATAAACAAAATTCGCTATTGAGTAACGAAATATTTGATTATTAAAAGGAATTCCAAAATATTTGATTTTCCTATGCAACCTATATTATTTACTAACTAAACTAAATTAAACTTTGCTAACTAATATATTTTATGTATAAACGTAATGAAAGAGTTCATCTCTAGTTCATACTGTAGCAGTAAAACTTTATTTATTGAAAATATTAATTAATTTACAAAACATTTCATCAATTCAGTGTGTTGTAATATATACAAATAATATACGCTTTCTTCGAATTATGAAAGAGTCTTTTTAATGCGGTCTAACATTCCTAAATTGTTTATACTA